TTGTGTAGAAACAAATTTTCAGATCAGCTGAGTGTTACCTGAGAATGTAGTTGATGTGTAGCATGGGGTAACTATGTTTAGCTTTTTAAGAAACGTTTAGCTTTTTAAGAAACTGCTGAACTGTTTTCCAGTGTGGCAGTATCATTTTGTACTCCCTCTAGCAATGAATTAGAATTTCTTTTGTCTGCATCCTCACCATCATTTGGAATTACCAGCTTTTCTAGGGTGTTTGTTTGTTTGTTTGTTTGTTTTTAAAACAATTCAGATAGTTCTGTGGTGCTATCTTGTTTTGATTTACACTTCCATTATGACAAATGATGCTACGAATCTTTTAATATGCTTTTTATTCTGTATATTATTATTTGATAGAGTGTCTCTTCAGATCTTTTGCTTACTTTCCAAATTTTTTTAATGGTGAGCTTCAAGAGATATTTGTATGTTTTGGATTAAAGTATTTTATCAGATATGTGTTTTATAAATACTTTCTTGTTGTTTGTGGCTCTCTTCCCTTTTCATTCCCTTACTAGTATCTGTAGGCAGAGCAGACGATTTTAATTTTAGTAAGTCCAACTTCTCAATGTTTTCTTTCATTGATTATGCTCTTGGTATTGTATTTAAAAAGTCATCACCAAATCCAGGGTCATCCAGCTTTTCTCCTTTTTTTTGTTTTCTAGAAGTTTTATAGTTTTGAGTTTTACAGTTAGGTCTGTCATCCTTTTTGAGGTTACTGTCATAATGTTGTGAAGTCTGTGTCTAGATATAAATATAGATATGGATATATTTTCCATCTACAAGTCTAATTGTTCCAGCATTATTTGTTGAAAAGAATATCTTTGTCCTGGTGAATTTTCTTAGCTCCTGTTTCAAAGATAGTTGATGATATTTAGGTCTATTTCTGGGCACTCTATTTCATTCTGTTGGTCTTTGTGTTTATTCTTTTACCAATACGTTACTCTCTTATTTATTGTAGCTTTATAATAAGTCTTGAACCCAGATAATATTCTAAACTTGTTCTTCTTTAGTACTGTATTGGGTATTATAGGTCTTTTGCCTCTCTATATAAACTCTAACATTATTTTGTCAATAATTCTCCTGTCTAGTAATGGCTTTATATAGTTTCAGTATTAGGAAAAGATTGACCTTGTGAAAAGAATTATGAGGTGTTCCTATGTTTCTTTTTCCTGATAAAGATTATGAAAAGTTGATATTTCTCCTTTATACTTTCTTCCTTTCATTCTTTCCTGATACTTTCTCTTTTGGAAGGCTTTTATTCAGTGTTGTTAACATAGATGGGTCTAATGAGATTATCTATTTCACCTTGTTTGACTTTTGTAAGTTTGCATCTTTCAGGTAATTTGTATATTTCATCTAAGTCACCAAATTTGTGGTAATAAAATTAGTCATGGTACCTCTTTGTCTTAGTCAATTTGAGATGCTATAGCAAGGTACTATAGACTGGGTGACTTAAGCAGTTCTGGAAGCTGGAAAGAACAAAGTGGAAGTGCTGGCAGATATTGGTGTCTGAAGAGGACCCTCTTTGGATTGCTGACAAATACCTTCTTGCTGTATCCTCATGTGATCAAGAAAGGGAAGAGCAAGATCTCTTGTCTCTTCTTATAGGCTAATGAACCCTATCGTGAAAACTCCATCCTCATGATCTCATCTAAACTTAACTAACTCTCAAAGGCCCCATCTTGTAACATTATTACATGGGGGATCCACGCTTCAATGTATGAATTTTTCTGGAGGGACCCTTGCACTCAATAATACCCTTTATTAGGCTTTTAATGTCCAGAAGATTATACATAGGTATTTTATGTCTTTTTTTTCTTTTTTCTTTGATTATCCTGGCTAGAGATTTACTCTTTCAGTGAATAATCTTCTTTTCTTTAAATTTTTTCTGTTATTTTCTTGGTTTCAAGTTAATTGATTTCTGCTCTAAATTTTAAAATTTAATTTTTTTTCTGTTTGCTTTAAGCAAGATTAAATCCTGCTTCCCTAGTTTTCTGAGATAGCTTAGATTATTTGAGTGTTCTCTTCTAAAATATGCATTTAGCACTATAATGTGTCTTCTAATCTGTTTTTACTGCATATCACAAATATAAATGTTTTATTTTCATATATTTCAAAACATTGTTTTCACTCTCCTGAGACCTTTTTTTAAGTTAGACCTTTGTATATTTCACACTGACTTTTGTTTTTAAATGTTTATTTATTAATTTTGAGAGAGAGGGAGTGAGCAGGCAAGGGGCAGAGAGAGAGGGAGAGAGAATCCTAAGCAGGCTCCATGCTGTTAACACAGAGCCTGACTTGGGGCTGGAACCCACAAACTGTGAGATTATGACCTGAGCCAAAATCAAGATTTGGACACACCATCCAGGCACCCATATTTCACACTGTTTTAATGTCCAAACATTTAGGGCTTTTCTTACCCCTATTGATAATTATTTTAATTCCTTTATGGTCTGAAAATATATTTTATGTGATTTGAATTGCATTTTATGTCCCAGAATTATATTCTATCTTGGTAAATTTTCTATTGAAACTTAAGAAGCCTATGTATTTAGATTTTTTAAATGTCAATATTCTATATTCTATAAATGTCAACTGGGTCAAATAGATTAAAATTCTGTTCAATGTCAGTTATATTGTTGCTTATTTCTATCCACTTGATGGACAAATTAGTTACCAAAAGAATGAATTTGGAGTCTTCAACTATAATAGTGGACTTATGTATTTCTCCTTTGAGTTCTGTCAGTCTTTGCCTCATGTATTTTGGACCATCTGTTGTTATCTGTATATGTGTTAAGGATTAGTATGCTTTCTAGGAGTATTTGCCCCTTTATCACTACACAATGCCTGTTTTCATGACTGATAATTTCCTTATTCTGAAGTCTGTTGTCTTTCTCCTTCTATTAGCATAGTATTTCTTTCTCTATACCTTTAATCTATCTGTGTCTGTATGTTTAAAATGTGTTTCCTTTAGAGAACATATAGCAATGTTTATTTTTATCAACTATTACAATATATTTTTATTGGTATATTTAGACTTTCACACTTACAGTGATTGCTAATATAAATAAATATCTAGTATGCTGTAATTTTTTTCTGTTCATTGCATTTATTGTTTTTGTTTTCATTTTCACTTGTTGCCATCTGTTTTTTTTCTTTCATAGTTTATTGTCAAGTTGGTTTCCATATAACACCCAGTGATCATCCCCACAAGTGCCCTCCTCCATGCCTATAACCCCCCCCCTTCCCCTCTCCTCCCACCCACATCAGCCCTCAGTTTGTTCTCAGTATTTAAGAGTCTCTCATGGTTTGCCTCCCTCCCTCTCCCCAACTATTTTTCCCCTTCTCCTCCCCCATGGTCCTCTGTTAAGTTTCTCCTAATCCACCTGTAAGTGAAAACATATGGTATCTGTCTTTCTCTGTCTGACTTATTTTGCTCAGCATAACACCCTCCAGTTCCATCCACATTGATACACATGGCCAGATTTCATTCCTTCTCATTGCCATGTAGTATTCCATTGTATAGATAAACCACATCTTCTTGATCCATTCGTCCGTTGATGGACACTTAGGCTCTTCCCATGATTTGGCTATTGTTGAGAGTGCTGCTATGAACATTGGAGTACATGTGCCCCTCTGCATGAGCACTCCTGTATCCCTTGGGTAAATTCCTAGCAGTGCTATTGCTGGGCCATAGGGGAGTTCTATTGTTAATTTCCTGAGGAACCTCCACACTCTTTTCCAGAGGGGCTGCACCAGTTTACATTCCCACCAACAGTGTAGGAGGGTGCCCGTTTCTCCACATCCTTGCCAGCATCTGGAATCTCCTGATTTGTTCATTTTAGCCACTCTGACTGGCATGAGGTGGTATCTCAGTGTGGTTTTGATTTGTATTTCCCTGATGGTGAGAGATGCTGAGCATCATTTCATGTGTCTGTTGGCCATCTGGTTGTCCTCTTTGGTGAGTGTCTGTTCATGTCTTCTGCCCATTTCGTCACTGGATTATTTGTTTTTCAGGTGTGGAGTTTGATGAGTTCCTTATAGATTTTGGATACCAGCCCTTTATCTGATATGTCATTTGCAACTATCCTTTCCTATTCCATCAATTGCCTATTAGTTTTATTGACTGTTTCCTTTGCTGTGAAGAAGATTTTTATCTTTATGAGATAGGCCATCATTTATTCAGACATTCCGTCTGCTTGGTGCCTTCTTTTCTTTCAGTAGTTATAATTAGGCATATGTTGGTTACACATGATGAAACTGTTCCATGGTTTTGAGATTGGGTTTTTTTTTTCATTTTTTTTCCTTTTATATTTCTGTTTGCATGTTTACTGATATATCTTCAAGCATGGTTATTCTTTCCTTGATCATGTCCAGTCTATTGATAAACCCATCAAAAACATTCTTCAATTCTATAATAGTATTTTGATTTGTTGTGGGTTATATCTTTTGGCTATTTCTTCGAACTTCTGTATCTCCAGCAATATTACCCAATCTCATGCATTTTGTCTTCTTTTTCTGTTGAAACCAGTAACATATATTTTTTACAGTCATTCTGTATTTCCTGTATGATCATTGTGATTATCTGTGCCATATCTGAGTCTGATTTTGATGTTTTGTCCCTCCCAATTGTGTTTTCTCCAGCCATTTAACATGTCTTATGCTTTTTAATTGAAATTCAGATATTACATATTAGGTTATAGATATTGAGGCAAAAAACATTTAGTGTGAAGTTTTATGCTAGTATAACTAGTATTTGGACTGTCCTTAATGTTACAGATATTAGTGCCATGGACTTCAAATTCCTCTAGTATCTTTGTTTTTGTCTCCCCTGCTGTCTTTGGATTTCCTTAAGAACTACTCCTTAAATGTAGCCTATATTTTACAGCAATTTCAGCTGTAATCTGCACTTAATACTCTGGCATCTTGTGTGATGGAGTGAGAGGGAAAGTGTCCTATAATTTTATTATTAAATCTTAATCTTTCAGTGGGCCTGTTTTCCTGGTCTGTGACCCTCAGAAGTGTTTCTTACGATTTTTTGTTATGGAAGACAAGAAGAGAGAGACGTGGAGCTGAGAAAAAAGAGAGAGACGTGGAGCTGGGAAAAAGCCCTTCCTCCTTTGTGGGGTAAGACTCTGGTTATCTTTTTCCCTGATGAGTGGCTCTGTGTTATTCGGAGTGAAACTATATTTCAGAATGGTTATTTTTTCCTCTCAACATGCCAGAACATGATGGAGATTTTCTAGGATTTTCACTGTGAGAACCTGATGAGGTTCTGGGATATAAAACCCACTTAAGAGTGGGGCCTCCAACGCCTGGCTTTTAGGAGTTTCTTAGCCTCACGTTAATTCACATTCAGCCATCAGCAATTTGTCAAAATTACCATTTAACAGTTTCTACCAGTTAATGGTTCCACTGTCTTCTGTTCCAGACCACTGAACCTTAGCTATGGTTCTTTGTATTTGCTGGTCCCTACAGATTTTAGGGTATTGGTTTTCTCTGTAAGGTCAGTTCTCTAATAGTTGAAGAGGAAACATTGATTTCCATGTTGCTAGCTTTTTTCTTGTTTTAAGGATGGGATTTACAACTTCTAAGAACCTTTAATGTCAGAGCTAAAACTGGAAGTCAATTTTTCATAAATAAAATATATTAAATGATAGCAATCATTTTAAATGTTTTTGTGTAATCCTTTCACTGCTTTGCATTATTCATACCTTACAACAAAACTTTAAGTCAGATAGTGGTATTTTTTCTTTCCTGCCATCCTGGGCTTCTAGTTTATTATTGCTTTCATAAAAATAAAATAAAGCTTTCCATTTTAAAAATTCCCAAAGTATCTTTTAAAATGTTTCATTAAATTTTAGTTTTGTTGAATTGTGAAAATACCACTATCTGTATTATTTTCTGCTTTATAGGATTAAATGGTGCTTTCTTCTGATCTAATGTATGATTCATTTATGAATATTCTATCTGTCCATATAAAAAGGTATGTTTTCTAACATTAAGACACATATAGTTACACATACATTTACCTTATTGATTATGTTGAGATCTCCTACCTCTTGTTTAATGCTTTTTCAGTTGACTTATAGTGGCCACACAATTAATGCCACACAATTAAATCTCCCATAATAAGTGTGTTTCTGTCTTATATCCCTTTAATGTAAACTATATGGAAGCAAATTGTTGTTTTTATCATTATAGTAAATTTATGGTTGCTGCATTTAATGTTTTTTCTCTGAGTTATAGTTTGTCTAATAAAAGATTTCTAACTCCTACTTTCTTAATTTTTGTGTTTTCCTATTATACCTTTCTCATCTTTCATGTTTAGGTCCTTAGAGTCATAGTTTTAGATATGTCTATTTTAAATTGCATAGATTTGGATGTTGCTTTGTGAGATAAACTGAAACCATTTGTGTTTTTCAAAATAACTGACTTAGGCACATTCACATATATTGTTATATCTGATATTTGGTTTCAACTTCTTATATTACTTAATAATATAAAAGTATAACGTTTATAGTATAATAATATTTTGTTGCATCTACATGTCTGTGTGGTCTTTTTTTCCCTTTTTTAAATCTTTGAAGATTTTTACTTTTTGTTCACATGGTTCCCTTTGTAATAGTATTTATTTAAATATCCTTACATCTCCTTTCTTTTTATTTAACCATCTATTATTGTTTGAGTTCTCAGATGAGGATTCTCTGACTACCAACTGCTACCATTGTGACAATTACTTTCTTCCTCCAACATTTTATTTGCTTGTTTTTTTTTTCTTTCAGAACATAAACATACTACTCTTACAACCTTTTCCCACTTATGATTTGTTCTTAGATCTACAGTTAAGTATGTTCAGTATTGCTGTAACCATTTTCTGAAGTTTCCCACTTATCACTTGGTGGGATGCAGCTCATCTTTTAGTAGATTCCTCAAGAAGAGTTCATTTGCAATATTCCATAAGGTCTTCCACATATAAGAATATTTTTACATCCTTGATATTTAAGACACAATTGGATGGATATGACAAACAGCTCACACTTGCTTTTGTTGAGCTTCCTAGAAATGGTATTCTAGTGTATATTTTTATTGTATGTTGCTTTTGCAGTTTTAGTTTGTTTGTTTGTTGTCTTTTGTAAGTGTCTTTTTCATAATTCCTGGAGACCTGGAGATTCTCTTTCCTTTTATTTTTAAAGCCTGAGGAGCTTTATCACAGTATTTCTTGAGTTGGAGTTTTAGGTCAATAATTCCATGATGTGTAGTGAACTTTTCAATAAAATTTGGTCTTCTTTATATCCTGGGAAATATTACTGAATTATTATTTTTAATATTAATTCATTTTTTCTCTGAATATTATTCTGGAGATAGTTTTCAGGCAATTCACAATCACACATACTGAATTTTACTTTAAATCCCTCTCCTTTCGGTACCATGTTAATTAACCTTTATTTCTCAAATGATTTCACCGTTATATCAATAACTTTTCTGAATTTGTTCAACTCCTTTGACACACTCTTTTAAAAACACAGTTTCTAGGTTTTCAATTTATGATTCAGGATTTGGTTATTGCTTTTTTAAAAAATTTGTAAATGCTGTTTTAATGTTGGCTCGAATTAGAGTGCATGTCTTATTAGTTTTCTGTTTTATGTGGTTTGGGAAAGTCCGTTATTTCCTAGTTGAAATATTTCAATTGTTATTTCGTACGTTCTTTCCTATGTTAGCAATCTGAGAATATAATTTTTAATATTTGTTATTTTGTAATGTTATTCTTTCAAATAAACTGTAATAGTTATATGTAGAGGAATGTAAGAGCTTTGAGATACTGATTAGATTTAGTGCTTCAGAATACCTCTCCTGATAGAATAAATGGCTGCTTTTATTCAATCAGTGACTTTTTTGGTGGAGAAGAATTGATAATTTTATCATTTTCTTTTATTTCTCATATAGCCTTAATGTTTCTTCTTTTCTTCAATATTTAAGTCATTTCCCTATATTGTCTATTGTGAATAGTGCTGCAGTGAACGTGGTAGTGCAGACATCTCTTCATGATCCTTATGTCATTTCCTTTGGAAACATACCCAGAAGTCAGATTGCTGGGTCATAGGGAAGCCCTATTAGTTTTTTGAGGGATTCCCTAAGCATCTACCAGTTTACATTACCATCAGTAGTGTACTAGGTGTCCCTTCCCTCCACACCTTTGTTAATACTTCTTGTTTCTTGCCTTTTTTTTCTTTTGTCTTTTTAAAAAATGTTTTTGTTTAGACTCCAGTTACTTAACACACAGTGTAGTGTTCATTCCAGGTGTACAATATAGTGATTGAACACTTCCATACAGCACCCAGTGCTCATTACAAAAAATGCACTCTTTAATCCCCGTCACCTATTTGACCCTTGCCCTACCCACCTCTCCTCTGGTAACCATCACTTTGGTCCCTATAGTTAAAAGTCTGTTTCTTGGTTTCTCTTTCTCTCTTTTTTCTTCTTTGCTTATTTGTTTTATTTCTTAAATTTCACATATGAATGAAATCATATGGATTTTGTCTCTCTGATAGATTTATTTAACTTAACATAATACTCTCTAGCTCCTTTTTTATGGCTAGGTAATATTCCATTATATATATGCCACTTTTTCTTTATCCATTCATCCATTGATGGACACTTGGAATGTTTCCAAAACTTCACCTCCACAACTTCACTATTGTAGATAATGCTGCTATAAACATGAGGGTGCATGCATCCCTTTGAATTAGTATTTTTGTATTCTTTGGGTAAATACCTAGTAGTACATTTCCTGGATTGTAGGGTACTTCTATTTTCAAATTTTGAAGAACCTCCATATTTTTTTCCAGAATGGCTGCACCAATTTGCACTTCCACCAACAGTGTAAGAGGGTTCCTCTTTCTCCACATCCTCACCAATACCTACTGTTTCTTGTGTAGTTGATTTTAGCCATTCTGACAGATGTGAGGTGGTATCTCATCTTAGTTTTGATCTGTATTTCCCTGATGATAACTAATGTTGAATATCTTCTCATGTGTCTGTTGGCCATCTGGATGTCTTCTTTGGAAAAATTCTGCTCATGTTTTCTGCCTATATTTAAATTGGATTATTTGTGATTTTTCATTTGAGGTTTATAAGTTCTTTACATATTTTGGGTAGTAACCCTTTATCAGATATGTCATTTGTAATATATTCTTCCATTCCTAGGTTGCCTTTTAGTTTTGTTCATTGTTCTCTTCTCTGTGCAGAAGCTTTTTATATTTGATGAAGTTCCAATAGTTCATTTTTGCTTTTGTTTCTCTAGCCTCAGGACACATATCTAGAAAGAAGTTACTATGGCTGATGTCAAAAAGATTATTGCCTGTGTTCTTCTCTAGGATCTTTATGGTTTCAAGTCTCACAGTTAGATCTTTAATCCATTTTTAATTTATTTTTGTGTATGGTGATAGAAAGTGGTTCAGTTTCTTCCTTTTACATGTTGCTGTCCAGTTTTCCCAATACCATTTGTTGAAGAGACTGTCTTCTCCCACTGAATATTCTTTCCTGCTTTATCAAAGATTAATTGAACATATCGTTGTAGGTCCATTTCTGGATTTTCTTTTCTATTCTCTTGATATGTGTATTTTATCCCAATACCATACTGTTTTGCATACGTAAGCTGTTTGCATACCCCTTATATGCAATATAGCCAGAAGTCCAAAATTGTGATGCCTCCAGCTTTGCTTTTCTTTTTCAAGGTTTCTTTGGCTATTCAGGGTCTTTTGTGGTTCAGTACAAATTTGGTAAGACCACAGATACATGGAGGGTGAACAACATACTACTCAAGAATGAATGGGTCAACCAGGAAATCAAATAAGAAATTTAAAACAATTCATGGAAACAAGTAAAAATAAAAACCCAATGATCCACAACCTTTGAGACGCAGCATAAGTGGTCCTAAAAGGAAAATATATAGCAATATAGGTCTACTTCAAGAAGCAAGAAAAATTTCAAATAAATAACTTAACTTTAAACCTAAAGTAGCCAGAAGATCAACAAAAAAGACTAAAGCCAAGAGTAGGAAGGAAATGATAAAGATAGAGCAGAAATAAATGTTATAGAAACAAGCAAACAAACAAAAAATAGAG